AATAAGAAATACGTTGAATGTGAGAAAAGGTGGTAGAAAGTTAAGTAGAAATTATTTATATTCGTATTAGAGTAGGGTTTCGAGACTACCAGTAAATCAGTGTAATGAGATGTATTTATTTATGCTCGATTTATAGATTGAAATAGAGAGAGGGTGTTGAGCCGCCTTCAAAAAGAAAGCGACTCAATTTGTCTGCTTAGTGATGGTTCTAATTTCACTCACATTCGCCCAAAATGTTAGAGTAAGCTCTTCAAACAAACCAGACATGTCAGATTACGCAGCCCCAGTCTTGCCTTCCTTTGGAGGGCTAAAGGTTAATGACCCTTGAATGAAAGGTTAGGACAAGTGGTTTTGTAACTTGATTATTATGCTTACAAGCTCATATTTCATTATCTCAACCATACTTATTTACGGACCTAAGCAGTCTTGGTCAAAGATTTTCTCTTGAGTTATTAGGTCTTGAGGACCAGAACAGGAGAGTTAACCTTTGACAAGTCTGATTTAGGAACCGTATTGCATATAGACGCTAACACGAACAAATCTACATACTCATAAAATCGAGCAAAAATAACAATCAGTATGAAAGAAAATTAACCAAACCACTCTATATCGATCTTTCTAGGTTTCTTAATGTTTAATTTTTTGGCTCGATTGAGTCTATATAAGAAGTAAGATAGAGCCGGATAATGTTCTTGCTTTAGTATTAACTGCCGGCTGCAGTACAACGAGATTCATCCGTCCTCATCTAGTGAGATCGACCAACGAATCTCTCCATTAGAAATGAAGGTCCCCCTAATAATGATAAGATTAGGCCCCAATATAGCAATGAATTTCAGTTAGCCTTGCCTCCCAATATTCAGTGGCTTCGTAAGGCTGACTCCTCTCACTGTGAGAAAGTTAAGATGTTATGCTTTTATCACCTTATGCAAGCTAGAGTTACTACAGGTTTTATGCACTATCTAGTGATAGTATTTAAATCTTAGTAGTATATCAAAATAGGAATTTCTTCAACAAGATAGCAAAAAGGAAAAAGAAGAACTCAGTTTAATAACTGACCAAGCTGTTTCGGGTGCAATATCTGTGCCAAACAGTTAAATTGTGCAGAAAATCTTTTCTGCTGCAGACTCACTAGCCACACGATCAGGAATATAGGGAATAATGAGAATCAGGAGATAAGATTCGGCCTTAGAATATAGCTTGGTAAACGCATTACACTAGATTTTTTAGAGTCTGGCATTATCAGCAAATATATTAGTAGTATTCTAATGAGAAAATAATAGCCGAATAAGAAGAAGAGGAGCCAACATTATCAATCTCAGTATTAAAGTATCTAAGACCTAAAGTAGATAAAAAAGATAAAAACCCGTTAATTATCTTACGATAGGACAATTCTGACTTTAAAAAATCCTAGAATAATTATAATAATACTAGTACATCGGTATATCGGTATACAACCAAACCCTAAGCAGATGCAAGTGCTTTTCTAACTGGCAAGCAGAATAAAATATCCTTAATCAGTCGTCTTATATAGGCAAAACCATTTTGCGGATCTTTGATTACGAATAACTCACGCTGACCATTCTTTATTATGAACTATTTGCGTCTATGGTGCAATAAACAAATAAAAAAGGAATAGAATGCATAATCCATACGTTTGAGGAACCAAAAATCCCCATATCATACAACCTTGACCTTCGTTAATCAGCAAATCTTATATTAATTTATACCTCTTACCTTATAGTTATTGGTGAACTAACTCTAGCGCAAAAATATAGTGAACCAATTGTGCATGTAACAAGATGCAATAAAATAGAGACTACAAATTAATGTGAGCTAATCTAAACTTTTGTTTCCCTCAATTAAACGAAGTATATAATCATGAGAGATAACAATATAAATTGAATTTACAAGCGAAATTTTCATGTCCAGCAGTAGCCGACAACGATTGGCAGCTTGGAATTGGTCCCCAATGTTTAGCGCTGGAGTCAGGAATACATAATTGACGATCGTTGTTCTTTGTAGTTAAAATTTCCTGATCACTAATTTCTGTGGCCCAGAATTGAGAAAATTTGTGTCTCACACCGATTATGTGGTCTGAACTCTGAGGATTGGGCATCCTAGTAATGGAAGTTGATATGATTGTTGAAGTAGTACTTTCTTGAGGTGATGCTGCAGTTTTTAGGCCATTGGAATCGGTGGTCAGAGGAAGAGACTTAAGAGGTTTGATAGGAAACACATCACTACACTCAGATGCGGAAAGGGAGGAAGATGATGACGAAGAGGAAGAAGAAGATTCGCATGAAGAAGCTCGACCATGACAGTTGTGATAGGAAGCGCCAGAAGCAGCTGAACCAACGATAGAATGCACAGAGGATGAGGATGCCGAAGTAGCGGACGAAGCTGAGGAAGAGCGCGAACAAGGAAGAGAGAAAGAAAGTTTATGTCCTTCGCCAGCGCGATGTCGTGGAGTCGGAGCAGAACAGAGTAATAATGCTTGACGGCTTGCCTCGTAAGGATGAGCATTATTGGTGGCCAAACGAAGATGATTGACGCCTGGAGGATACCGAGGCCTCGAAAAGGAATCAATCGAAGAGCAATTGGAAGAGCAAATGGAGTCAAGTGATACACGTGGGAGTCGAGGCTGGAAGGTTGAATGAGAGGCAGAAGTAGATGCGATAGAATGGATACAAGGCATATCTGACATAGTAGGTGTGGAGCCAATGGAGTTGCAATCTGTCGAAAACTGTAATGTAAGATAAATAGTACTTTAAGACAGTCTAAAAAGCTACATGAATAAAATAGGCCACTAAAATCAGACAAACACTAAAATAATTTGATTTAATAAAGTATGTTCATATTCATAAAATTCAGCTGCTTGTCATAGAAAAACAAAAACGAATTAGATGAGACCCAACTCTAGTTAGACTATTAAACTAAAATATAAATTTCGTGCTAAGAAAACCAGCATTAGTAAAGATTTCTAAAGCAAGATTTCTCAGTTAAACCACAAAAAAACTATATATAAACCTTGGGACAAAAACTGGTTGAAAAACTCTTATTAGAAACATTTATAGGGCACGAAGACTCTCCGGCATGGTAATAGATATATCGTCGCAAATATTTGTAAGATGGATTTAATTCAATTTTTATAAATTATGTGGTATTTGCTTATAAAAAGTAATTAAATTCTTTAAATGATTTTAAGAAATCATCAAGTTCTAACTAAAACTTAGAAGCAATGGTTAAAGCCATTAAGTTAACAAACTTGACCCACGCTATTATACAAGTGGCGATGCAAATATAAAAATCATATCTCTAAGTCTCGTTAACAACAGGACCCAGTTGCGAAAACGAGGTCAGCCCACTTCTAAGCAAAAGGAAATTTCTACGAGCCTAGTTTTAGTAGACGCAGTCGATATAAAAATTCAATAAAATTAAGTATTCTAAATCTATTTCCCTCCGATCATATTAGAGTCAGTATTGAAATTACGAAAC